GCCGGCCCTGTTATAGCCCCTTTTTAAATTCTATTTTGTTTGATGTAAGTATTGCTTGCTACCGCAGGTTTTTAATTTTTTTTCTGTTTCCATTTTCATGAAATGTTTTTTTTCCATTCCTTTATTTTCAGTCTATGTGGGTCTTTCGATCTGAAGGGGGTCTCTTGTAGGCAGCATATGTATGGGTCTTGTTTTATTATTCATTCAGCTACCCTATGTCTTTTGATTGTTGCATTTAACCCATTTACATTGAAAGTAATTATTAATAGATATGTAGTTATTAACATTTTGCTATTCATATTTTTTATCTTTTTTTCTCTTCTTCTTAAAGAAGTCCCTTTAACATTCCTATAATGCTGATTTGGTGGTGATGAACTCCTTTGGCTTTTTCTTGTCCCGGAAGCTCTTTATCTGTCCTTCAATTCTAAATGACAGCCTTGCTGGGTAGAGCAATCTTGGCTGTAGGTCCTTACTTTTCATCATTTTGAATATTTCATGTCAATCCCTTCTGGCCTGCAAAGTTTCTGTTGAGAGATCAGCTGACAGTCTTACAGGAGTTCCCTTATAGGTAATTAACTGCTTTTCTCTTGCTGCTGGGAAAAATTGTTTTAAATTATGATTCTATTTCTTACCAAAATGGTATTTCTTTAATACTCAACCAAATTTATATTATGACATAAAAATACCTTCTTAATTCAGACCAGGTAAAAATATACCATTCCCAGTGCTACAAAATTCACTCCAGGTTAGAGGAACTCTTAACACCTGGGATACCCTGTAAGTTTCTTTGCAGAGCTGTTTTCATCTTAGAAAGAATTACATTACAGTAGGAATGAAAAAAAAGAAAGTCCCATAACTAATCAATAGACAGCAGCAGAGGAAAGTGATTTCATAAAAGAAAGCCAATCCCGGGCCAGCCGAGTGGCTCAGTTGGTTAAGAGTTAGCATAAGAGCATGAGCTCTGAGCAACAGGGCAGCCAGTTGGATTCCCCCAGGGGCCAACAATGCTGCACCTGAGCTGAGTTGCTGCTGACTGCCAACAGGTGGCAGGATGGCTCAGCTGATGAGAGCACGTGCTCCTAACAACAAGACTGCCTGTTTGGTGGTGGGCTATGCCCGCCCACAGATAAGACTGAACTTGGCACCTTGAGCTGAACAGCCACCAGGATGGCTCAGTGGATAGAGCGTGTGCTCTTAACAACGAGGCTGCTGGTTCGGCTCCCACATGGGATGGTGGCTATGCCCACCCTCAACTAAGACTGAACACAGCACCTTGAGCTTAGAGGCAACAAGCTGCTGATGGGCAGGCAGATGGCGACTGGCGCCCTCCACAACTAAGACTGAAGAACAACAAATTGGCTGGTCCCCTGACCCAATTCCCCAATTTTTTTTTTAAAAGAAAGAAAGCCAATCCCTCATCCAATAACAAGTATTTACCATCAACTCCAGCATGAGGAATTTCTCNCCCAGCAGAAGTAGAAAGTGTGCGTGCATCTGAAGGCGGCAGGAATGAAATTCAGTGTCAAGTCTCTCTGTCTAAAGAGCTAATCTAAGTTTTCTACGGGGCACCTGCTTAGGTCAGAAGTGGGGTAGGACTGACGAGGGCAGACAGTACAGGAAAAAAGAGAAAACTGGGTTACAGAAGAGCGCACTTGCTGAAAAACAGAATGGTGGAGAATTTTAAAGAAGGCGCTCAACCCCGTGTCAGGGCTGCCATGGAGGCTTTAGGCTCTCAGCCTCCGCAGTGGGAGAGCTGGCCTGGGGCCGTGGGGCAGGGCAGTGTGCATGCCCAAAGTGCGGGTGGCACACCTGCCCAGGTGAATGAAAAAACCAGACCATGCAATCTCTTTCTCACCTCACACCCAGGGCTAACTCCAGAGCTGTGCTTGGCAGGCAGACACCACAGGGGAAGCTGTGACAACCCTGGCCCTGCCCTCCCAAGCTGGAGTCGCTGTGTAGGGAGAAAGGATGTTGCAGTAGGTACTGGCGATCTACAGGATAAAAAAGAATGAAAGAAAATTACTTCGGTCTTGAAGTGCACACACACTTAACAGCAAACTTGTCTGACATAGCAGAGGCTGTTTCTTGCCCTGTTATCTGCTTTTCAGTGCTACAGGAGGATTGTACTGGGGAGGCGTAAGCGTTTGTGAATTCAAAAACGGTTAAGCCATCTATTCTCTTTCACCTGCCAGGCATCTTGGATGTTTATGGGAATTCTCTATGCCACAGTCACCTGCCTGCGTCAGGTGGGCAACTGTGCCACTGAGACGGCAACTCAAAGAGACGGGCCCTGGGGGGGCGTTAGCTTGGAACTGGTGTGGCAGTGTGGGAGATGACCATCCACTCTGCCATATTACATGTTTGCTCTGATTACTGCCCAGTCTTGGACTGCTCAAGGAAGAGGATTGAGCAAAAAATGGGTAAAAGGAAGACATTCTGTGTAAGTCCCAAGCAGGCCTATTGGTATTTATTTTCTGGCCAAAAAAAGAAAAAAAAAAGTCACCTCAGAGGCATGGAATTTCATGCAAATCCCTCTTTAGGGACCCATCCACCCGGGATATACATTGCCTTCTAGTAATGAAAGAAAAAGTCAGCAGATTGTGGAAAATGCATCGTCATAAGCAGGGTGTCGTAGGCTAAGAGAAACTTCCAGAGAGACTTGGAGGCAACACATCTCTTGAAGTGGGGCGGGCATTCAGCACTGCACAGGCAGGAGTCACTTACTTGTCAGAGACAGCTCTCGCTTTGAGCAAGGCAGCGGTGTAGCATATTGTTGCCGACTTTGGTAAGCTTATATCTGTTAGAGAAAAAGAAAGTAGGAATTCTTGTAAGTCTGCAGAAACGAAAAGCAATGATTGTTAATATACTAGCATTTTAATCACATAAGACTAATAAAGCGTAAATTAAAAATATTTTAATGCCCCCTCACGATATGGTTTTTATATCTGTGGATTTAATAAAAACTCCGCGAGTTCAAAAAAAGAGAGAGAATATTTTAATGCACATAGTACACAGCTGTTCCTTATGTATCAGGGCGGTACGTGAAACTAAAGTAATTCATATTTTTTAGAATAATTCATGTTTAAAATCCACCAGGTTGACTTTTCAGCAATCATCTTCTATTTTAAAATATGTATTTCATGTTTATTTAAACAGAGAATAGCTATAAATATATAAATTTAAATATTACAGGAATACCCTTGATATCATGAAAGGTTAAGCCATCTTCGTAGGAGCTCTTCGTAACTTACAAAAATTTCNGGGGAGGGGGAATGGGGAGATGCTGTTCCTGGTAGAAAGTCTCAGACTCGCAGGATGAAAAGGTTCTAGAGATCGTATATGACAATGGCATAGACTTAACAACACTGAACTGTATACTTAAAAATTTGTTAAGATTTCATGATGTGTGTTTCTTAGACAAAAATACAAGGAAGGAAATCACCCAGAAAACAGTTACTGAGGATACCTGAAAGTGTTTGAAGGCACAAGGCTAAGACTTGGACTTCAATGTGAAGGAGAGGACAGCCTTTTCAAGGGCAAAGAACTATGAAAATCTAATGAGTGTCTCCAAGAGAAACCTGCCTCGTCTCAGCATCAGTCTCTCCCTGTGTGTCTCTCATGCGAGTGCACTGAGTATATACTTACTGTTTACTCCTGTGTGAGCACAACTGGAGGTACTAGGATCTTAATGATCTGGTGATTTTCAAGAACTGGGTACACAGTTCCAAAAGGAAGAGTAACACAGCGTGATTTGGAATGGTGAGTGTAAGGGCTACTTCCTCCTTAGAGCGGGCTACAACCTGACGCTTCCGAAACCCTCGTGTTTAGAATCTGACTGACTACAGAAGAGGCCATCTCCAGCTTTTCCCCATTTTGATTTCCCAGGCCTGTTGTGTGTTTAACAGAGATACTTACTCCCTTCTCCTGTTTGCAGGGGAGAGTATTCCTAACAGAGCCCTCTGGAGTCAATACTTTTCCTTGGATGTTGAAATATTACCTATGTACCTTTGCTTAATGAGATGGATGCCTGACGGAACTAAGCCGGACATTTATGGAAGGCAGTTCTCAGCTATTATATTTGGTCTTCCTTCTCCTGAGCAGACTATAATTGGGTAAAACAGCACACAGGGACTGGAAATGCCTGTGGTGGGCTGCTGGCAACTTCCTGTGATAGAGACACAGAAGCCAAGGAAGCGTTTCCCATATGCTAATACCTTGGAGAAATCTGTGTGTCTATAAGGCCTTGAGAGCTCTAGGAAGCAATGTGCCTGCCGCCATGTGCGTGTTCAAACCTGGGCTGGTCTGCCGCCAGCGGAAGGTCACGTTCAAGGGTTAGAGAACCCAGAATCTTATACAGCTCTGCTGTTAATTGCTATGTGACCATGAACATGTTACTTAGCTCTCCGAACCTGCTGTGCCCTTGTCTATGAAGCAGGGGCAATAATATGATGCACCTCGCCATATGGCTATGAAAATAAATGAGATGGTATATGGGGTTCAGTTAGCACTGTGCTTGGCACACAACAAACATTCTATAGAAGCCAATAATAAACTAACTGTCATGATATCATCAATAAGGAGAGAGTCAAGCTTAAGGATGGGAAGGTGTCCTAGATAAACTTTAAGGCCCTTTCTTATACCAAGAGTCTAAATTCTTCATTGATATTGCATTAGAATTAAGGGTATTCTCTGCCTGAAAAGGCACCAGTGTGTGTATATGTGTGTATGTGTGTGTGCATGTGTGTGTGTGTGTTTATTAAAGTATTAGCAAGCGGTCCAATAAATAGCAGAACATGCATAAGACATGTTTATAACAGCCTCCATGTAGTACACAGGTACCAGACGTTTGTGGTTAATTCTGAACAGGTGAGGCCAGTGACTCACAGGACATTTTCCCCATGGAAATGTCAAAAGAAGAAGAGGATCTGGAAATAAGTTTCCCCTCAAAACAATCACCAACAAAGCAAAGTGGGGAAGAATCAGCTTCCTACATACCCGATCTTTTCACCATTGAATGATCAGAAAGTAGACTGAAACAAAATATTTAAAATGCTTCCCCTTTAGAAGAATTCTGTTTTGCAGGGAGCGTGCTAGTTGACCGAGTCAGCTTCTTCCATGGTAGCCTCAGACTAGCTCTTGGGGCTTTTAATACTCTCCTAGAGGCCCAGCCAACCATTTAAGACTATTAGCAAGAATTAAACAACTGCTTCAATTAAAATATCTAACCAACAAGTATTGTACCAGTTTCCCATCTTGTGCCCCAGAATTACAAGGCCTTGGTTGGAAAAGTTAAGACCCAGAGAAGTTAAGAACCAGTTCCCAGAGTTAAGGGGCCACCAGTAAGTCAGATATCAGTAATGTAAATACTTTACAAACATAGAGTGCTCAAGTATTTTTAGAGAATTTTGCCTATATTATCTCAGTTGATCTTTATCACAGAAGACAGGTAAGGCTTATATTTTTATGTTCATCTGAAAGATGAAACTGAGTTCAGAGAGGCTAAGCCCAAGATCCCACGGCTAACAAATGACAGAGCCAGAAGTTGGACCCAAGTTTTTGTGTCAGAATCTAGGAATCTACTGGTCAGTACTACTTCTAAAAGAGCCTTATTTATGCTCATAGAATAGCTCTGTAATTAGATAAGGCACTAAATAAATATTAATTGATGACTTAAGTTTACTAAATTCAGGACACTATTTTCATCATTAGTTTTAAATTTCAATCAAATGTGAATGAACATTTTAACTTAGCTAAAAAAATGCTAAATAAAGAGATATACTTTATAACACTCTGTATACAATACCTAAGTGTACATATACTGTGTTGGCTGGTCATTACCCACTGGCACTACAGTGGATGAAAACATCCTCTGCAACTGTGGTACCGAGCACCATTCTTCTGTTTCCTGTTTTGTGAAAAGAGAACTATGACCTGAATAAAACCTCAGGAATAATAAACCTTAGATCATTTATCTCTGTCACTCTGGATATCAACAAAATAAATTAAAGTAGGTGACTCCATAAATCATCACATATCTCACACACACAAACCACCTCACTTACACATCTCACACACACACACACCACACATCACACACACACACACACCATCACTCACACATCTCACATACACCACAACCACCCTTTTGCTATAGTACTGCAATGAAAACGGCCTTCTTTTGCCATTTTTCACCAATGAAAGTCTTCATCACACATTCTGCCAAGAAAATTATGCCTTGTAGTACCTGATGTGAAGTGCAGCAATAGTTTCCTACAGCTCAGAATGTGCTTTGTGATATGGAGAAACTGAAAATGGCCGTCAGCTATGTGCCTATCACATAGCAGTTCCTCAAATACAGTTAAATCATAAATACACATCCGTCTCCTGAGTAAAAGATTACAGAATCTCCTCTATCATGATCTGACTCCCTTAAAATCAAATTCAGAAAAAAATATTAGAATTATCATAAAATGATATTTATAATAGATCATTATAAATTGGTCAATCATGTGGTTACCAATTAAGACAAATATTTCCTACTACATATGTCTACTAAAACAGCACTCACAAGTCAAAAGAAAAATACTTCTTCATACTTTGAGGTTT